CTTGTATAACTATATGTTCTATATGATTCGGTTTTCATTTTCCATTTTTCACTTTTCATTCCGGCTACTTACGGTTCCTCGACATCAAGGCCCGATTTCTAGGTATCCTTCTCCCACAGGGCAATTAATGTGGATAAGCCAAGCAGCAAGAGAATAGACTCAAAGCATACAAGATGACGTCGTCATTCAACTACCGTTTCGGCATTCTCATGTGAACCGCGAAATCACTAGGTACCTATTCGGGTATTCAGACATTCGGTTGCATCTGATAGCGACGTCCCAGCTGTCCGAATCGCATGTCTTGCCTACAGGATCGGATTTGTTTTTGATGAGGGAAATTAGGTTGAGAATCCCACTCCGCTTCCCGCAATCACATATGATATTTCATGATACCGAATGCCGGACTTTCTCGATACACTTAGCACTCCGAGATCTCTGACCGACTTAGGTAAGATGACTGCACACCTTCTCCGTAAGAAGGGGGGAGGGGGGAGCGTGCTACACGATAAACTCCGACGTGGGGTGTTATTGATGTTAACCCTCCCTCGCATCTCCAACCCCCCAATCAAGTTTGTGGGGGGAGATTCCAGTACATACATAGCTACCTAAATTGTACATTTGTATGTGTAGGTACCTTAGGTATGATATGTAATATGTATGTAGAGATGGAGGAACAACAACTCTATTTAGGGCTCGAAGGAATCAAGACGAATCACATGTTTGATTAGGACAAGGATAATAAGATAGAATCCTCTAGACGCGAGATGACCTGACAGCGTCTGAAGATCTGAGGAGGCGAGGGAACGTTAATGTTTGCTCGTAGGGCTTATCATCCAATGGTTTAGGTACAGAATCTAACCTAATCAACTTCTATTATAGGATACTATATCGGTCGATCACATCACTATCGTTAATGATGTATCGTGCCTCTTAACATTTGTGTATGTACAATAGAAAAGTAGAAAAATACCTACCTTATATTGACAGCGCAAGAGTCGACAGACCGTATTTTGGCTTGATTGCAACAGGAAACAGAGGCGAGCGTCATAGTGAAAGATTCATATATTCGACGTAGCAGAGCTGTGTTCACATGGTGGCACCTTGGAATCTTTAGAATCTCCCGATAGATACCGAACTCTTCTTCCATAGTTGCACCTGTAACCATTTAATATGAACAAATGTGTTGATCGCCACGCCGCATCCTCTAGGTCTCATATGTGCCTCATGGTTCACGCTACACATGGCAAACATACGAAGTGACTCCCGGTACATCCCTAGGTTGATGGCAGTGCCTAGGCAACCAGCCGGGCTATGTGGCTTCTCGTGATGGATGATCGGGTAAGTGCGGACTTTAGTAGTGGATAGGCTCCGACAAGTTCCTGAATATCAAACTCGTGTCTGGCTTTTGTGTTTCCATTAAACCTACCAACGTAGCGTAGCGAATGGCTTGTCTTGGTCACCAATAATGGCAGAAAGGGCAGAAAGGGCAGAAAACGGTCAATAGCTTCGGCTATTTTACGGCGCGATTCCATTCCTGGTAGGCGAGACGACGTGATATACGTGATATTACACGCCCCTTGAGGGAAGCTGAGAGATATTTCGTAGACGTCTACGGATATCTCATTTGCTATCTTCGGTCAAATCACGGGAAGAGCTTTCCCACGAGTGGCATTGCGGTATCGCGCCGTCGCGGTCGACACGACACGACACGACGCGAAAGCGTTTTGCGACTTGTCAAGTCATATGGGAATCTGAAAATAGGTGAAGATCTACGGCCCTCTTAAAGCAAACTTCTAGGCTCTCCATGGCTCCCCATGGCTCCCCCATAGTAGGACTTACTATTACCCCTCCTAAACCTCTTGCGGGTGACTTCGGTCGCGGTGATCTTGCCACCGTCTTGTCTAGGCTTATCGGGAAACCCGGAAAATCCGGGGAGGGCAAGGTTTAATTGGTGATCTTTCTTGACTAGGCCCTCGGAGTCTAGGGAGCGATAAAATGATAGGAACTCCAAGCTCTTCCATAATGGGTATCGGCAGCTGCAACACGAGGCGGTCAGCAAGGACCCGAAGAGTCCAAGCTTTCTTCTAGAACATTGTTGCAGCAACCTATTGGTTCTGCTGTTGGTTCTGCTTATGGTCCGTGTCGTTGTTACCTGGCTTCTGGTAGGGAAAATCTTTACCGAAAAATCTTTACTGAAGGTCGAAGCGGTAACACGCATCCAATCCACCTTAGCTACAGTACATAGTGTAGCTATCCTAGCTATCCTACCTATCCTACCTATCCTAGCTCTTGTGTGTATGTATGTGTATGTGTATGTGTACGTGTGCGTGTTTGAGGTTGTCTACGTATTTGCGCATGTTGGGCTGCCTATCGAGGCGTTGTTCCGACTATACACTTACCATTCATTGATGGGAGGTTAATAGAACCATGGTTGTAGTATGTACAATTGCGTACGCCAACCACAACGAGTACCGGACTTCAGGATGGAAATAGGAAGCCCAACAATAAGAACATACAAGAACATGATCGCAAATGATAGCTGACAAGATCGCAATCCGAGCGCGCAATTTAGTTTGTAATAACCTATCTGCGCATCCAAAACCCGAAAATACTACTTGAAGGATTAGAGTAAGCAATCGTGAGATGAGATTTGAGTACAGATGCTACGGATATAAAATCTATGTTACATAGGCGCGTGAGGGCGCACACAAGACGATATACGATATACGATATACATTATACGTACCTACCTAAGTATACCTAGGTATACATGGCATAGTACGCACACTCACGCACAAACACTTGTATTTGCCAATAATTCTATAGGCGGCATCAAAATGCGGAGTGTGGTGGTTACGTCTGAGTCATATAGGTTAGAGGAATCGTAAAACGGTCCCCGTCTCGATTACGGGATCTTGATTTGGGATTTGGGATTTCTGATTTCTTACGCACATATTTTTAGGCACAAAATCAAACGCCGAGGCACATCGAGGCACATCAAAAGCACATCATCTAGTAGCGGGCATCTCTAGTAGCAGGTTGGTCGCAAAATCCCACCTATACATACGATTCGTCGTTTGGGTAACCTAGGCGGTCAGGAGAAATACCGGTATTGGCCAGCACAACGAAATTGTTGCGGTCAGCCAACTCACCTTTTCCCTTCTCGTTGGACAACTAACCGTTAAAGCCAGCTCACTATTGCTCAGCCGCCGAGAGCTGCTGACGGCCACCGTGGCGTAGGGGGAAACCAGTTGCGAGTGATGGCCTCACCTATGTCTACCTATACTATGTCTGTCTGTCTGTATGTATGTATACTACCACCCTGTCGTCATAGCGTCATTGATGTTGTCGCCGGTATGTATGAACCAGAGACAAAAGGAGGGCGGATATTGCCATTCATCCTTGCAGCAATCAAATGAAATCAGGTTTGGCTCGGGTCCTGAGTCCCTTGCTGCTTTTTCCGCAATAAGTGGCGCTCGGACGGCGCAATGGCGGGAAAGCAGAAAAGAAAATACATAAGGGGGATAAATGTTGGCTATTATTGAATAGTTCGGGGGGTAGGTAAATGAAGCAATGCAAGCCAACGGGACGGGCGTTGGGAATATCCCCCATTTCACTCGTGCCCGAGGTGAATGGCTGCCCGAAGGCCAATTAAAGACATGTTAATAAGACCGCCTCCTTCGTTACAGAAATTAGCATGTCATGGCAACAAGAATAGCTGTATGTTAGGTACATTGGATAGGTACGTGACGGATCCTTCGAAAAGGGTCCCAAATAGAAGTAAACGGTGGTGGCTCGGCGTATACTATGTATACTATGTAGTGTAATTAACCACCGTAGCCATCCAGGAATAGTGTACCTAAGCCTGCGACTTTCGGCATCATGTGCGCCACTACCACGTTGCTCTCTAGTCGGAAGCAAAGGAATTATTCATACATGCTGCTGTATTAGGGTCATTAATGTCATTAATATGATGAACGTTATGTATTAGAGTCGTTGAATGTATGTAGTAAATTACTCTGCTTTCCAGTAATCAACCAGAAATGCCATCTTGCTACGCACGTTGTATTAGTTGTATTAGTTGTATTAACCTTGCCGGCTATCTACATTTCTCGACGCCATCCCCGTCTTTTCCCATGCTTTTTTTCCAGAAGCGCAAAGCGGGCAGGACGGGTTACGAACTTACTGTAACCCTGGAACTCCGGTAATAGGGTCTTGTAACCCAGGACACCCAGGACACAGGCAAGCAACCAAGACAAGGTTAAGACAGGGCTAAACTAGTTGCCCAAACTAGGATGCTCGCTGCGCTGGGAAGCGGGAGATAGACCCGGCCGCGGCAGTCGGATAACAAAAATCGTGGTGGACCTTAGTTATTGAACCCTGATCGTCATTCTACTTTGCAGTATGTACATACGCGGTAAGATATTCCACGGATCCATGGACCTTGTTTGATGGGGCCTTGCATCGCAAATCCCGCGGTCTGGCATTTTTGATTTTTTCCTTTTCAGCGTGTGGGGACTGAAAGCCTGCAAGCGAAGCATCGGAGAAGAAAGGCGAAGCCCAACAGTATGTTGCCAGCAATGTTATACATACAGACCGATATGTAAGTGTGTATGTACCTATGTATAGGCTGCGGCGCTGCTTTGCTTTGCTTTGCTTTGCTTTAGTACGTCCGTAACGGCGTAACTAAACTAACGACGCCCAAAACGTTAGCTTTCTTCTTTTGGCGGTGTCAGTTCCGTTACTTTTTGGCTGTTCGTGATTGGTAGGGTACAGCTCGGCGAGTGAGATACCCGTCTGGACGGTGCACGACCATTGGGAAATTGGGAATGAGATGGGGGTTTCAAAGCTGACTCCTGTTAAGGCGGTCTGGGCTGACTTGGTTAGTTTACACCTATGTATTCCCTGTGTCCCGGGCCACACCCAACGCTCTCACCCCCCCCCCCCCCTTTCACGCATCCATGACAGGCGGTCAGCCAGGATTAGTTGCAACGTGGGGTGGAGCGCGAGGGACGGGGAAACTGGAAAATAGGCATTGTATTGTATTATTGTAACGGTCAAGAAAGCCTGCTGCCTCCGTGCGGCGATGATTCATGTCCACCACACCCTCCGGTAGTATATATATGTTCTCATGGCCATCCCATGCGCTCACGTCCCATGCCCCCGTTTCCCTTACTAGATACCCCAGATTATTTATTAGTAGCCATAGAGCAGTAATACATATCTCACCACCACCACCACCATCATCATCATCATCATCATCTACAGCTCTCCACAAACTTTCTACTAGAGCAACGAGATATCATCGACTTGCCGCATCCACTACTGACTTACACGCGAAATCGACCCGTAACAGCTTTGGGACGAAGACCCGCACTCACGAAGATCCCGACTAGAGAGCCCTTTTGAAGGAAAGGAAGATCTTTCACTACTACGAAACCCACATTCAAAATGTATAGCCCATACGGCTCTTACAGCTCCATGAGTGAGGTCACTCAACCCATGGAGATCCCTACTACCAGCTATCTCTCCCACAACGGCGCCTACAGCGCTAGTTGCGCGTTCCCCTCGTGGCCGCGACGCTCGTCTCTTACCGACTCTGCACACGAGCAGCGAGCAACCTCTTACCTCTCCGATGATGACCTATTCCCATGCGACCTAGAGGACGACGCGCACAGCATCTCCAGCTCGGGTAGCACGACGCCTACCTCTCCCGCCATCGCTAACGAGGTCGACCTACTACAAATGCAGCGCGAGCAGATGGCTATGCAACGCGAAGCCATCAAGTTCCTCCTCAACGAGAAGGAGAGGAGAAAGCAGCAACTCAAGCGCCAACGTCGCAGCAGTGGCGGCAGCTCTAAGAAGAGCAGCCCCAAGTCTACCAAGTCGGCGCACCTCGACGCCATCGCCGAGACTGGCGAGTGAGCACCTTTTTTACTTTCGTGACAATCCAGCGTTTTTAATGGTAAGTCACTACAGCATTCATATAAGTCTATCTCACATACGAACAGTAGCTAACTGCTATCATCACAGAGTATGACTTTACAACCTTTACGACTATTATGATGATTATACCCCTAAGATACCCCCGATCAAGTCGCCAATAGACGAGTGACGCAGCGCCACGGATACATGTTCCGTCCCGCGCCACGCGGATAATGGTGATGAAGTGCTAGTGCACACTACATTACACCCACGGCTTGCATAGGAATCATAGTCATTCCAGCGCCGCCGTCGCCACCACCACCGCCGCCACCATCACTCTCCCCCCCTTTTTATACATATAATCATTTGGGAATCGATATCTACACATGCCGCCAGACGCCACTTGGGGCGACTCTGGGAAGACGTATCTCAGCTACTTTCGGCCTAGAGCATACACTTTCGCGGCACATTTTTGAGAGGAACGAGGAATTTTACAAGTGCGTTTGCGTTGTTGGTGTGTTGCTGTCTGGAGGATAAACCCACCCACCTATACCTACCCACCTTACCCACCCGCATTACCAAGAGGCCTTTCCCGAGGCAGGGGTGCGGGTTTTCGGTTACTGGAAATCTATTTTCTTTGTTTTCTAAGATTATGGCGGTGTGCTAGCGGTCTAGCGGAAGGAAGAGGGGCCGGGAGGAAAGGAAGAAGGAAAATTCAGATGAAGCTAAGCTAGGGGGGGGTTGTTACCCGTGTGTTGGAATTGGATGGCTTGGGGGGATGGATGAACAAGGGGCCAGTGACGAATTGTGGATGGGAGAGTCAATGCGGATGACCCGGGTTTTCGGGATTTGGACAAAGCAAAGAAATAATTCCATACAAGTCCCACGAAAAAGTTCGGGTCGGGAGCCAATTGGCTATGGTTGTGGCCGCTGGATGGTCGGTGCGCATGAATATGTCTGTTTGGGACGAAGGGGGGGGGGGGGGTGGTGCACAGGTCCTTCAGTGAGGACGGTTGTGATAATTTACTAAACTACATCAAATTTTAAATTTTACTAAAATCAATCAATCAATTACATAATTATACAATTACACTAAGCTTTAATATCCGTGTCTGAATTAATAAAAGTAAATGTCTTGAAACACTAGGTACCTAACCTAGTTAATCCCTTCAATATACTACCTAACTATTGCCTCTATTGTTTAAATACTATTAGCACCGGCAACATTCCTCACGATCCCGACATTGTTCCCTACCTAACATAAGCCGGTGATACACAGTACATAGGTAGGTAGCTGAGTAGACGCGAGGGATACCAAATTAGTAACTTTGGCCACCCGGGATCGCGTTCTGGGAATAGCGCGTAGAGCCTACCCATATATTTCCAGCAACTTGATCAGACTTACATAGGGTTTGTCGAAGATCTTTGCAGGCGGGACTGGCGGGATGGACGCTGATCGTCTTTTGACGGGCATGGGGCGTCTGGGCATATGTAGAGCTGGCTGGGCATGCCAATGCCAACACAGGGGACTGGATCGACTTGCCTTATCAAGTTGTGTGGCTTGCAGGGAGAAGAGGGGAAGAAGAGATGGGATGGGGATGGAAGACATGGAGAAAAGCCCTTGCCCTAACCTACCGTGGCGTTTTACATACACACTACACTACAAGCAAAAAGTGGCATGCAATATCACATCGTTGTGGTTTGTTTGGCGGTGGGGTAAAAGGAGCCGTTCGTCCTGAGTAGTGCATATCGTGGATGGTTTGTGTATGTTGCGAGTGGATGTCGGTGAGGACATGCCGTTTGATAGTTTGATAGTTTCCTCAGAGTGGATGGGTAAGTCTAGAAATAGGTAGGTAGCTAAGGTAGCTAAGGTAGCTAGTGATGCAGTCAAGAGGGTAATACCCGCATCGTCTCGTTTACATACATGTAGGGTTATGATGCTGTGATGCTGTGATGCTGTGATGCTGTGATGCTGTGATGCTGTTTTGGTCCTTCCTTGAGACGGGAAGGATTTCAGTTGAATGGGCCGGCGTCGGAACTAACAAGTTATTGACGTTGGGAGGATTAAGAGAAATGGACCGGGTGAAGCGGGCGTCACCAATCAAGGAGATTTACGGTTCGTTGACCGACTATCGCTTGTCGCCGGTGTCGAATCGTAGGTATTGGTTGGTTCTTGACCGCCGGAGAATTCGTGACTGGTGGACTGCTGACGCTTTTACGCTTAACGCTTTACGCTTTATGTACGCTTTACTTTTGACGTTTAACTCCACACCTCGACTTGCTTCCCTTAGGGCATCAAAGCTCCGTAACGGGAGTTGGGCAGGTTGAGGCAGACGATGAAACGAGTCGATCGTGGCAGCTCCGGAAGACTCCCAATAGCTCAAATGCTCGGATGAGTGGACGATAGGAACTTGGGAACTTGGGAACTTGGGAACTTCAAGAGCTTAGGACCTGTACCCCACACGTAGCCCGACGACCTCGTCTTGTCTCACTCGGACAAAATCTGGTTGACAATCTGATTGTTCAACGGCGTGGCGCCCATTATCTCACGCTAATGATGATAACTCTATCACGACGTATCGAATCGCAGCCTATCACACGCCAGAGCTTGGCGTTCACCAGATCAGCACAAAATCACCGGACCCAGCCTCTAAGATTAGCGACTGGGTTAGGTGATGAGGCGGGGTGAACATAGATAGAGCAAGTGTTCTTAGCTCTAAGAGGTTTATCTCACCGTACGGAATCGAACGTTGTTCATAAGGTAATAAAGTGATAAAGTGATAAAGTGATAGAGTGATACCCAAACTTTGAGATAAAAATCGTGATGAAATCCCGACCTCCCCCCGCATGAGGTATTTTAAACAAGAGCCAGATTGCTAACCTAGGTCATTACTGTTTTTGTAAAGAGGTCAATGCTATCACCTTCGCCAAGCTTGTGGGCTTGAGACAAGGGCAGGGTTGAACCGTTCGCAAAAATTTGCTGCTTGACTCTTCCAGAAAATTTGCTCTTGGTCACGTATGTAATCACGTATGTAGACCCGCTGCTAGATAATCCACAGTCCAGCTAGGTATGTAGATGCAGAACCCGTACGGACCGTCCCTGTTGAATAGATGGATCGGGACGTAGCCGAAGCAAGATTCCCGTATGCCCGTCTACCCGTTTAATCTTTTGCTCGCATGTATGTACTAGGACCGTTAGGTTATCCTTTCTGACAAGAGCCCAACAGCTTCTGACCCTTGACTTCAACCAGCCATCAACGAAAATGCCTGGCGTTGTTCTATATATAATATATATAATATAAATAGGTAGAGTGGTGGTGTTGTTGTTGTTGTTGTTGTTGTTGGTTGGTTGGTTGCTAGGATCAGGGGGATACGTAGAATCGGGAAAGGTATACTATACTCATCACAACTCTAAGAGACCCGAACCGAGTAATTTCGCAGCCTAGCGTAGCATCTGTCATTTCGCTTTATATCGTTTGGTTGCGCTGTTGGCATGTCGATTGTGGAGGGTAGATGGTATCGTAACCACAACGGACCACAATGGGAGAAGAGATTTGGAGAGAGGGGGAAAGGGGGGGGGGGGGGAGATTTCGATAAGTATACTGGGTTGTACCGTATCCCCCTGGATTGCATCGTATCTTGGGTATGACAATATGCAAGGGACTGGCGGCGAGCAAGAATGCGTAATCGGTTAGCTTTTAAGAGTGAGGCTGCTGCTCGTCGATGGCAAAAGCCACAAGTTGCATGTCGTAAGTTGTAAGTCGCAAGTCGCAAGTCGCAAGTAGCAAGTAGCAAGTCGTAAGCAGCAAGTCGTAAGCAGCAAGTCGCAAGATTAGTACTGGCCGCAATGCTGGCCGCAACAACAGCGACCTTGCGGGGTTTACATCAAAATGTTCCTAATGCGCGACAACCTGCAACTCCCCGAACCGATCCTGGGCATTGGGTTGTACGGGGGGCCATTGAATACGATCTCCTTACTAACTGTGAGGCATTTCACATATAGTATCTACGCATTCGTGCGAGTCTGTTAGAAGTAGTACGATAACCCCAGGTCTGCCCTGCCGCCTCGTTGGCGAGTTGTCGGTTGTGATGACCAGGTACCTAACGCATAAGCGTACCTACCTATATATTTAAATTGATCAAGAGCTGCATAAGACAGCTTCTGGAATTCCGGTTGTGGGGACAGACGGATGACGTCGTTCCTATCAGATATTAAAGCTGTCGTTACGATGTGATAATGTGATAGCCTGAAAGCTCGAGGCTTGTTGAGGCTTGAATTTTTTTTTATCTTATGGCATAAATTATCCGCGCAGGTATCATCCGAGTCGCATAGCTACCTAACCTAACCTGCGTCGAAAGAAAAGACCCAAAGAAAAGACCCCCTTGCTTCAACCTGCTCAGTACCTGCTCAGTACCTGTTCACTTACATAGTACCAGAGGTACGGGTATAGAATGCGTGTCTAGCATAACGAGATACCATGCATATTTGGATCTTACCATGTTTCCTAATCGGGCACCATCTCTGTCTGCTACCAGCCTCGACTTTCCCCATCTTTCTATACCACAGCGCTTCTTGAAGAACACCTCTCTCGTACTCATTCCTATTTTAACAACAGAGGCATCTCGTCAGCGAGCAACAACAGCAGCGACGGCACGGCGTCAGACGCCGTGTTCCTTGCTTTTCGGTTCAAGGTTGTAAGTGTCAAGGTTGAGTGCGCGGGACGAAGTGAGTACTACACGTGAGTAACGTGGGTGGGATGCTGGCACCCATCGGTGAGGAAACGAGAGCCAGGGCGTCCATGTGCGCATAGGATGATCTTGCGTAGTGGGGTAAATTATGAGTTCATGGCCATGTATTCATGTATGCGATAGGTTTACATCCTGTCAGGGTCTCACGAGCAATCCTTGAAAAAGGTCCACTGGGTATTGTTCGATGGAGAAGAGAAGGCGTATAGTGTATGTAGGGTGCAAAGTGTGGATAGAAGGAGAGGGAGGAATAACGCGTTAAAGAAAAACGACAGCATTGGTCGTTAAGTATATCCATATAGAATTACCATGATGTCAATAAGTATAGTATAAGTATAACTACCTGTTAGTTAGTAGTTACCTATAGTTAAATGGTAGTTAAGTATAACTAGGTAACCTAGGTATGTAGTTATAACTAGTTGACTAGTACTTAAGGAGGTTAGGTTAACCAAGTATATGTATTTTACTACCTAATTCTTCTTCTTTCAGGGGATAAGCAAGGCATTAAAATTCAAAAAGATAAAAAGATTAAAAAAAGATGGAATCGTTGTCGATAACCCTGAACCCTTGCATTCATCTACCAACGAAGTTCTTCGTCACTCTCTTTTGCCGCCGCGCCGAGCCCCAGTAAACCCCAGTAAATACTTTATAACCAATCATTCCGCCCGGCTCTAAAACCCCTTGCCGTCAACGGACCAATCCTCTTTCACAATCGCCCTTTCACTGCAGTCGGCGCTACTGCGAGGAACAATGCTCGTCAACATCCCATTCTCACTTGTCCAATGCTAACCCACTTGTCCATTTACCTTTACCCAACCACATGTCACAACTTGCTTTCTCCTCAGTAGCTCAGAACAATAGCCAAATGAGTCTTGCTATCTTCCTACGCTAGGTTTCTGGACGCTAGGTTTCTGGACTAGTAGCTTCAAATAAGGGATACCCAGCCATTTATGCCTCAAGGCCGCTTTGTAGCCACTTTTGAAGAGTCATGCTACCATGTACTCGAGACCTTGGACGCCTCGTCGTCGCTCGCTGCGCCCTGAACATCAAACCGCCCCCAGATGTTCCTTTTTGGAGAAGGCTGGGGGGCCGGAGCCCGCATACGGCATTCTCTAGAGAGGTAGCCGTTCGCGTGGGCTTCTCAAAGCACGCTTAGACATGCCTTGGACGTGCCTCGAGGGCTTAGTAAACGCATGAACAATCCCGACTCGCCGTTCACCTGGGTCTCTTTTTATATTTTACATATATACCTATATATATATATAACAGTCTCTATTTCTAGCTGTTCTGCCAAGTGGCGAAGCTGGACGAGCCTCAATGTATGCACCAGCTAGAGAGGTACACAGGAGAGTAGGCGAGGCTAATTATATCGAAGTATACATGTACTGTACCCTTCCGCACTCCCCTGCTTTTGCATGATCCATCGCACTACTGTATTATGGACGATTCGATCACCTTGCTACCCTGAACGGTACCCTGTCCATTCGGCATGCGATGGCTGATCAGACCCCTGCGAGATGCTGCCAATGTATGTAAACCTGGGCTTAGCCGGACCCGTATCCGCTCTAGATATGGCCGCTCGGTTCTTTACTACGTAGTATATGCGATCTGGGCCATTGAGAGCTCAGAACAACTCCTCTTTAGGCGCTGGACTTCTGGACATCGATACACGTCTTATTTGCTCTCTCACACCCCCCAAGCTCGATCGAGCATACCGTTCCTCTACTTCTTCTTATTATTCAACGCGGTTGTCCCTTTTTCTTGTATACGACTCAAGGATCTGATGCAACAGACAGGCCTCTCCAAGCCTTTCTGATTCAAATATAGTGACACTGCCGCTACTGTAGCACGCTCCCACGAGGAAATAATCGGATTAGCACACCTCTGTGTGACATACCCGATTCTCTCCGCCTCGGGCCCTCCTCCTTAACTTCCAACCTTTACAACATTCCCTCTCCCAGGCTTTCTAAGAAGAGACAGGAGCATCAGTACCCTTCCGAGCCGGCGCAACATCGCAGCGTGCTATCGTGGAACACGACACGCCGTCCTCGAGCTAATTGCGCTTTTAGTTTCTCGTGAAATCAACCCCGTAGCTCTGGCACGCGGAACGTGGAAAAGGCGACTCATCCGGGAACGGGCAGGTTTAGGTGTTGCGTGTGATGTTCGGGGACCGAATTGTGTAGCGCCCCCGCTTGCTTGGACACTGGGAGTATTATCTCGCGGATATACACGCAAGTCGAGGTGAGTGAGTTGTCCTGGCTCCCTAGCTCCGTTTTGCGCAGGGGCGAAGCTTACCAGAGCCACTCGCCCCAATCCTTATTAGCTTGGGAGGTCCTCTTATATCATGGTAGCATTAACATGCCAGTAGGTGACTTACACTGCCATGTCGTCCTCGAGCTATCAGACGATGCCTCGGCATCGCAATGCTTCCGCGAGTTCCGCCGGGCGCTCTTCAAGAAAGGGAAAGGTGGCCGCCGAGCCGAGAGAGTTCACATCGCCAACAGCTCTCGTCAGATACTTTGAGCCGACAGCTGCGACAGCCTCGATGCTGTTATATGGACGTGAGTAGGAGAGCAACCTTGTTATTAGCTCGGGAGGCTGACATGTTGGACAGAGGGCAACTCGGTAGTCGTTGCGCATCATGATAGCTTAACGATCGAGAGGCGATTTACGCGACATTCAGCAGAGGTACATCTGTTGGCTGTGGACACGCAAAGTGAAATGGGGGCAGGCCGACTCGTCATGAGTTACGATGCGGATATGACTGCGATTGTCTGGGACCTTATGACAGGTGACGAAGTAGCACGATTTGCTTCATATGAGACTCTTACATGCGCAGCTTGGATGAAGAATGGAAACGTCGCATTCGGTATGTTTTTCTTACTACTTTACTACTTGGTCTAGATCCTATTCTCGTCGATTTCATACTGATATTACGGATATAGGCAACACGCAAGGAAATGTCATTCTCTTTGAGCCTACTACTTCTGAGCACATTTCCGCACGAACTATCGATCAAATACCGGTGACGGCCCTTGCTCCAGCGGCTGATTGTAGAACCTATGCTATTGGGTAAGATTTATCCCCCATAGTTTTGCATCTCGTGTAACTGTTCAAGACGCCTCTTAACTAACTTGCATCCAGGTACCAAAATGGCTCCCTCTTGATCGCCACTCTGCAGCCACGATTTACAATTCTGCATAATCTGAGCACGTCAAGAAGCCCGTCGCCGATTGTAAATATTGCATGGCACGCCTCGTCTGCTCGCCAAAAATCGGACATGTTGGCTGTGCAGACCAATGACGGCGACCTGAGGGTCTGGAGCGTGGCGAAGTCGTTCAGCAGCGAAGACCCTGCCAAGGTTGTGAGGATACTGAAACGTAAGGAGAATTATGTCAATGGTCCCAACTGGATGGGTTGGTCTAAGAACGGCCGCATAATTCAGTACTCTGAAGGGTAAGGCTCATCTTCCACCCCCTTTTCGTGCATAAGCACAACTACGCGCGCGCTTAACCTATGTGATGCTAATGATATCATCCGTTATAGCGAGACCCTCTCATGGGATGTTCGAACTAAGCACGTCACTAATGACAGCATACCGACCCTTGAGCATGTCCGCGGCCTCGCCGTGTACGGGGCGGGTGCGACCTTGTTCACCCTTGGTGCCAACAACACCGTCCAGCAGTTTGACCTAAACACGCCATCGATGATGGTTGCTAACGTCCAACATCCTGCTAATGTTTTGCCACCCTCTCCGCCGGTCTCCATCGAGGAACAGCCCGAGCAGGGTGTTGTCATCATTGGTACTTCAGAGTCGGATTCGTCGATCCCTATCAACCCTGAAATATCCGAGAGCGATGATGATCACATGTCCCCGTTTGCGAGGCTTACTCGTGGGGCAGACTCTACCGCTGATATGTTTGAACAGGAGAGGTCCCGCACAGCGAGTCCAGTATCTTCAAGGGGGCCCTCGTCTACCATCTCCAAGTCATCCAACGGCTCTGGCACTCGAGGTCGATATCCACCTTCGGTTATATCGCGTGGGATGACTGAGAATACTTATATCTCTGCTGGATCTTCGCTTCGATCCTCGGCTATAACTCCATATGCTGATAGGGACGCCTACTCACTTAGCAGCATTAGCTCCGCTTCCATGACTTCGTCTACCCGTTCTCATCGTCGGCCTTCTCGACTAAGGAACGAAGTTTTACCTAGTCCCGACGAATCTAAGGTCAACGACCTCTTTCAGTTTACGAGGAGCCGGCTTCACGACATCCCTTATAAGCACGCTCTAGTTGACCAAACTCGTCTAACTAATGAGGACCTTCGTCGGCAGATGCTAAGTATTATCTTCGGGTGGAACGGAGAGGTTGAGGACCTTGTCCGCGACGAGATGGCACGTCATCCTTTGGGCTCCCCTGGCCGTATTCTTCTAGCAAAATGGCTTGGTGACATTGATGCGGATGTGATGACAGCAACATCGGAGAACATGACCTCGTCAGACTGGATGTTATTAGCTCTAAGCGGGATTGGCGGTCAGGCTTCCCAGCATAAGCTCGGGCGTGCGTATGTGCAACGCCTTCTAGAGAATGGTGACGTACATGCGGCGGCGACGATTATGATCGGGATGGGTGATACGAACGATGCCATTGAGATCTACATCTCCCATAAGAAGTACATGGAAGCCCTTATCCTGCTCTGCCTCTTCTTTCCCAACGTATGGGAGCGGCAAAGTCAAGTTATCAAGAAATGGGGAGAGTTCGCTGTCCAGCACGGCCAACAGCAATTAGCGATTCGATGGTAAGCCTAATAATAACAATCAGTATCAACAAAGTCCTGTGCTAACAGCCTTGAATAGCTTTGCATGCACTGGCGTAGAGTCTACGGAGCCTTGGACTTCGCCATCAGCAGCCCAAGTAACCTTCCAGAACATTAGTGCCAGCATTCCGGAGATATTGAGTCCTCCGTTATCTCCTCCTGGCATCAACCGCGGGCCGCAGCGTAGTATTGCAAAAACCTCAGCGCTAAAGCTCATTACAACTTTTGGTGATCCGGGGAAGAAGTCCAAATTCTTTGCGAACGGTGATGGGGGTCAGACTCCCATTGCTGCAGGTGTCACGCCTATAGCTGAGTCTGCCGTTTCTCCTGGTGGACATGAGCCTAGTACTGCATTCCTTCGTCCCTCGCAACGAAGCGCTTATAACACTCCTGCTTCTGCAAAGCCTACTACACCCGGTGGATTCGGACGGCAACGTCTGCCCTCAATAGGAGAAATCCCAAGCAATGCCATTCCGCGCGACCTACTCAGCGAAAGAGATCTTCCAACTCCTCCTGCTGACTCTGTTCCTGAAATGAGCCAGGCCCATCGTGCCCATCACTCTAAAACACCTTCTGCTGACGACCGGTACGATGTTGGATTATCTGTGCCGAGAGCTTCTACTGCAAGCCCGATGATGATGAGGGATATCCATCGTCGGAAGGACCCTCCTCCACCTTCGCCATCGCCACAATCGCTTAATGCTCTAATGCAACAGGGCCGTTCTAGTCGAAACGGTGCCCGAGAACGGAAGCCTGAGGGAATGGAATTGAAAATTCACTCTATTGAAACAGCGATGAACAGCGACGTGACCTCTCCAGAGCAATCGGTAGCATCGTCTACCCGTTTCCATTGGCCGTCTCGTCGCCGTGGTCCAGGATCGATCGCTAGCTCCGTTACATCAAACTCGAGCGCTGGACGAGGTTACCGAGCTAACCAGGCCGGAGGTCGTGGATTGAACGAGTATATTCATAGCCTGGAGGCTGCACAGCACTACTCCAAGAAGCAGCGAAGCCGCGAGAACAGTCGCCACCGCCAGGACGACAAAAATGCTCGGAGCCGAGAGGGGAGCCGTACTCGTCAAAGCAACACACGCGAAAGTTCGGAAGATAGGGGTAGAGGTATCTCTCGAAACTGGACGCCTAAGCCTGCTAAACGCTCTCCCACTTCTCCCGTGCCCATGTCCCCCGAAGATCTGATTAACCTGAGTACCCCACAGCAAGCTAGAGCAGAGATTAGCGACGAAGGATTCGTATCGGTCGAGTTCGACTCAGGGGAACCGTCCACGGTTCGAAAATCTAGTCAAATTCGACGATCTTCCCCTCGAAGCACTCGTATCTCTAGCCGTACTTCGAGCCGTACCGGCCGCCAGAGGAGCCACGAGCGACGACCGCCAGCGTTAGATCTCCGCGGTAGAAGCAAGAGCCGTGGCGATGGATCTGTTCTAAGATCTCCGTCGTCTCCATTGCCAATGTCAGCGCCTATGAAGTTTTACGGATCAGACGATGAGGGAGACTACCAAGCCGCCATTGCCGCGCAGGAACAATTTAGAAACCGACACAACCGAAGCGGTAACCAGAGCCAAAAGGATCCATCTTCCCCTGCCGTCTCCCGAACTCGGGATCGTTCAGAAAGCCGTCGCAGGAGGAACAAGACTCCAGCTGACCAAGAACCAATGCCGGTGATTCAGCCGGCGCAGTTAGTTCTCAAACAGCAGCAACAAATTCCGCCGCCGCCGCCGCCACCACCGCAGCAGCCGATGAGTGAGGCACGAGCTGGAGATCTCAAATTAATCTCGGCCGAAAGACAGCTAAAGAAGGAGGCGGCAGCCCGCGAACTAGAGGAACGCCGCAAGTCCCTTGCACGACGTCCCTCAGCACCTCCTATCCCTCACCCGGATGAGCTCTCCCCAATTGTAGCCCGCACGCCCAGCATCTTCGAATTGCCTCAGACGACTTTTGTACCTTCAAAAGATATGCCCGTCAGGAGTCAGACCGCCGACCCCCACAGGAGCGCTCACTCTTACTCACGCAGCGGAACCGTCCCCATGATTGGCCTACCAGCAACACCTAAAGCTATGCGTCTTCAGTTCGCCTCGAGCAAGCATGGTGGCGCACCGCCAGTTCCTACCGCCTACACCAGGACGTCGCCGCCGTCTTCTGGCCAGCCATCACCTAACCGACCTGGTAACAACTCGCCGACTAAGTCGCCACCAGCCCTAGCCGAATCGCCTAGCAAATCGTCGGATGGGTCATCGGACAAAGAGGCACCACTGCTGACTCTTCTCCCTTCAACCGTGTATTCTCCTCCCTCGCGACCTAATATCGCAAGGTGCATGTCCGCTCCTATTCCGGAAGAGCACCCGCCTCAATTTGCCCACTCAGCTCACCAGCACGGAATGCAGGCAAGCAGCCAGCCGCACCGCAGAGGGTCTCTCTCGGTAAGGAAGATGAGTGGAGATGTTAATGGAGGATTGCCTGGTATCGAGGAGAGGGCGGGATCCGGTAGACACTCGAGGAAGGCTTCTCGAGACGACCAGATACCTCCACCACCGCCACCGCCGCCGGTCCTTAAGGAGCTCCAGCATCTGGCTACTCCCCCACCGCCGCCTCCCGCGCCTATCCCCGGCGTTAGGCCCACCATCTACACCGGTGCTCAGCCGTCAGGATCCGGAACCATCGAGATCGTAATGGACGAGGATGACGATAACAGCGCAGCATCAGTCATGCCGGTTCCGGAACCCGCTCCGCAAGCTTCAAGCCCCCAGATGTCGCCCTCGTCGCGCAACGGCCACAGCCGCGGGCGAAGCTTTGGCGACAACAGCATCGCCGGACGTATTAGCCGTGCTGCCGAGAGGATGCGATCTGCCAGCCGAGGCCGCACCGGCTCCATCCTAGGTAACAGGACCAAGTCTCCCGACACCGCTACCATACCCTACGAGAGCGTCCCGCCCCCAGTTAGCATGCACAGCAGCGGCTTCACATCTCCTGTTAATCAGCAGCAACCACAGCTACCGCAGTCTATCGAGCGCCACCCCCGCGAGGTCCGCGCCGCGTACCAGGAGCGGGAGTTCGGCAGCGGTCTTCACGCCAGCGAGATGATCTAGACCCAGATTGGATAACACTTTCTTTATTTCGAAATAACGCCTAGATTACGATTGTGTTCTTACTTAACTACCTACATTTCAACTATATACGACGCATCTCTATCTCTTTGGATTCTTCCGCGTCTCACCCAGCATGTATTCGCATGGCGCCGGCGTTTTCATCTACTTCTTACCATTGATACCATTTCTTCCTCCGAGTCTTGTTTTGCCGGCCGCCATTTTTAAGCATTTTGCGCATGCATCTTTTTTTCCTCCCCCCTATTCACGACTTGGTATTTATCTCCACCCTAATGGCAAATCTACGGGCAAGAATCGACGACGTAATACCCAATACCCCTTTTCTACCAAGTAACAGCCATCTACGACTTTTTACCTTTTCTTCTTTCTTCTTCTTCTTCTTTGCCTTCTAAATCTACCATGTATACTTCTATATTGTCCTCCGAACCGAGGACGAGGTCTGGCCGGAAAAAGAATAGCCAATACCCATTGTTACCTCCGGGCGCGCGAGCAGTCGCGGAGCAAACCTTTTATATTTTATTCTTTTTTTTGTTAAGCTCACGAATTTACGACATATTTGGGGGGGGGGGACAAGACATGAAGGGGCAACTTTTGGACAACAGAAAAAAAGGGGGCCGCGTGAGACGAGTAATATCTCTGCGGCGGCCCGCATTACGAAAGCTTGTACACAATTGAGATAGCAGTATATCTACGTGATGATGACGACGACTTCAGGAGGAGGAAGGGAATAAGGGGAGAGGAGACAAAAATCCCGTAGGAAAAAGGGCTATGACACGACAGACAGACAGACAAACAAACTTGAGTTTTCCCACCAGAAGAGAAAAGTCTAACGACAAGAATGGTGTTGCCTCACGGCATCTTTGTTCTTCGCTTCTTACTTGCCTGCCTGCTGCTAATCTGCTTGCCGGTTGCGGGGATGGGCGATTAAAGCTATACCCGAATTTTCTTGATAGTCTGTTATTATAGTTAGTATTATTATTATCATTATACCTTGATGTTTGAGCTTAGTTGACTGGAGTTTTACGGTGCTTGTTAATACTAGGTACCTAGTTATTTAATAACTTTAAAATGGGTTAAATGGCAATGGATGTGACTATTAAGAAAGATAGCATATATGTATCTGTATTGTTGCTGTGTAGTTGCTGTGTAAAATGCAACTCTATCCGATTCAAACGCAAAGTCAAGATTTTCAAGGTTGCGAGTTCGAACGGGTCAAAAAACATACTTTTAACATGTCACAACCTCTTATCACTAAATATTATGGCAAACCTGATGTACATCAGCATCGAGCAAATGCGCTACGAATAATTTCCGAAATAAAAAAGAAAAACGGAGTTGACAATCTCCATCTCGTACCACTAGCCCAAGTCCCCAGGTCAGCGTGTTCCACCACACCATGCGGCGGGGGAGGTGCTCTGCAGAGTGAGGCCTCCCTGAAGTGTCCCCTCCATTTCATAGGACCACCTAAACATCACTGGTTGCCCAAGCGGATAGGTGGTCACCGCAGCATTTGCAGTGGGCGCGCCCCGGGGGTTCTGATGGAATTGGGATTAGCAGTACGAGAATTTTAAGCGCCTTCGACCAATAGACCATTACAGTCGAAATTTTTACTTGGAATTTGGTCTTATATACATATTGGGTTGGTGAGTGGGGCTGTGCGGGGTAAAGTTCGGGATTGGGTAACTTGTAACTATTGATGTACTTGCAGTTATGAAGTATGCGACAATTGCATCGATTCGGTTAATGAAGTGTCCAATCGGCACCTCGTGCTTGACTATGTTGGAAGTTGGAAGCTTCGATAGCTTTACATACACGAGCCATTGTGCACCATGTCCTTTCCATGACTCATTAAACTTTCACTGCTCAATACATATCACGAAATTCTAGGATTATTCTTCTGCAGGAACTTAAGCTATCCCCAAGCACATCAACTAGAAATCCCACATGCTCAATCAGATTCACGATACCCCCATACACCACCCAATTGCTCTCTTCGCAAACCCAGTTCTCCGATTAAGTCGATGTCATGTTAACGACAGCGCCGTACCTGCGCATCCGGCGCCCGTCCCCGACAACAACAGAGTTCATCGTGTCGACCCTCCCGCCGCAGACGCTGCCGCTACGTCTTGCCCTCGGGGCCGTGTACTTCGTGCGTCTGCTACTCGCACTCGCCGTCGTGCTCATGATGTACGCGGCCCAGAGCTCGTACTACTCGACAACACCCCTTCAGCCGCTACTGCTGCCGTCGATGAAGGCGTCAGTAGCGAATATACAATCGAATTCTACCACGACGACGACAGGTGCTCCCGCCGCAAATAGTCCCATCGACGTCCTCGTTACCACGCCTATCTTCTCCCTCGCCTTCGTCCAGCAGACCCTCAACGTACTGCTATCCTCGCGCCTAGGATCCCTCCTTTCTAAGCTCGCGCACTCCGTGCCCCCGTGGATCTTAATCCCCTGCTGCGTAGGGACGCTATACCTCCTCTCGCTGCGCATCGGCGCCGAGGAGCGGCTCCTAGTCCTGCGAGGTCTGGGGGTCCAGACGAGTTCCAGCGGCGCAACGGTCTTCTCCGCGCTCAGGACGCGCTTCATCCCCACCGACAAGATCCAGGACATCCTGATCAACGAGGCCTTCCGTGGCTTCGAGGTCCGGCACTACCTGATTGTCATCGTCGAAGGGGAGGAGCACATCGTCGTCGTGTTTCCGCAGCTGCTCCCGCGACCGCGTATCTTGGAGAAGGTGTGGAAGGGCGCGAGGGAGTGTCTTTATGGGCGGGATGGGGAGGACGGAAAAGAAGAATGGAGGTCTCAGGGGGACGGCACGGCTTAGAAGAACGATGAGTCGTCTCCCTGTGAGCCGCCGCAGCCGCGTCGTAGACATGGATGGGGAGTTGGGGACTCGTGGATAGTGGTTTAGGACGGGTTTATTTGATTGGCGTATGGCTATGATGGATGGCATGGAGTTTTAACTTATGGAGTATGATACCCCGAGAGCGTTGCATAGCTTAAGTGTCTGCAATATAGCGATGTGTTATGTTATGTCTCCTCTCTTTATTTTCTCCTTCTATATCCACTTACTCCGTTCCCTCCTCTAGTGATAGTTCTTTAGATGGCAGATTGTCTGCTGCTTCCTCTCTCCTTTTCGACCATGCCTCCCTCATCTCTGCCGCGTCTACGAAACCCTTTCTCCTTGCCTCCCGGTCGAAAACTTCCGCCGGTGACGGAAGCCTAGGCTTCTGCAGAAGGGGTTGGTATTTGCCCACCAGACGCTCTGTGTCGCCGCCTTCGAACGTTCTTGTCGTGGATGGGATGTGTGGTGGTGCCTTCGGGTCCTTTCGAAGGCTAATATCCGCCTGGGAGGATATTATGTTCAGTAGTTGGCCTGCCAATAGTTCATCCATCTTCCGCTCACGCCAGTATTCCCACATGGAATTCAAGAGGCCACCTATCCCGTGCTGGCTTAAGGGGTTCTCCTCCCCAACGTACACCCATTTAAGCGCGTTCTCGGGCTTCTCTGGCCTAGGGAACATACAATCCCAAAGCACCAGCGGGACTTCGTCTGCAAGCTGATAGTTAGGTCTTCGCGGTTCCGCCTCAAAATCGAGAAGTTTATCTACTATCGAGGGGTCTTCCAAGCCCTGACCAACCATGAAGATAATCGCTACCATGCATCGGATCTGATGCCATAGGAACGCGGTCCCTCGTACGTGAAGATAGTATACCTTGGGTAACTTCTCCTGCAAGTCCATGCCTGAAGGCCTGAACTCTTCGCGATCTAAGAATGGTAGAGCGGTCTCTGCGCCTTTCACCTCTACTATGTCGCTCTCGAATACTCTCCGCTCAAAGTTGATGTTGATTTTACTCTGGTCGACTCTGCAAAAGTTTCGAAAGTCGTGGAGGCCTTCAAACTTCTTAGCCGCTTGCCGCATAGCCTCGATGTCGAGCCAGCCCCCTTTCACTTTTTTGGAAGAGTTGTCTGGGTTCTCGAAGCTCTGCGGTATCGGTGCGAACGCTGGCTGCGTGAAGAAATATCTATACTGTCTCTCCCTACAGTCGTGCCTCGCAGAGAAGTCGGCTGGTGTCGTGGGGCACCACGCCAGCATCCTGATATCAGGGGGTAGGAGTTTGTTCAGAAGCCTGCAGTATGGTAGCTCATCCGTGAAGTCGTTGAACTCCCTCTTCTCTGTCTTCTCGGCTGCTGCATCCAGTTCTGCTGCCTCTCCATTTTCGTCTACTTGATCAGCTTCTGTCAGTTGCTCCGTTTTTGGGAGAGGCCGATTACTCCTGACCCGAACAACAATGACCTGGCCGAACGCGCTGACGCCACGATCCGTACGGCCGCACTTGGAGTACTCCCAAGGGTCCCAGTTAACTTCGTCGGGGTTTTCAGGAAAGATCAAGCACGCCTTGACGAAAGCTTTCCAAAGTTCTTCCTCGATAGACGGCAGGTTGGCACTCGCCGCATACTCGAAGCCGCCGTACCGCTTACCCAGATACGCCAGTTTAAACGCTACGAGCCGCGTCGAGTATTTCGAAGGGTCAATTTTGCGCCCTACTTTCTTCTTCTTCGGTGGACTAGTAGCACCCTCTTCTGTTGCTGTGCTCGTGATAGACCCGTGGGCCACCTCTGATTTATGCTCGCCAGCGCGGAGAAGATTTTCCTCGAGCCTCCGAATGCGTTTTATAAGCGCATCCTTGGTCCACCTATCGTAGGTAGAATCCCTCTTATCCATCTTGAGTTTTAATGCAGTAAGTCCCGTAGAAAATCCACTTCGAATCTCTTGACGAGATGCGAGGGGGAAAGACCTTAGAGATGTCTGAAGGCGTTGGTTATAACACCTGCCACTGAAGGGTTTCATCCACATCCACGTCAGGAAATGTTCTGGCAACTTTTTATGTCGGGGTATTATTTTTTTTCGAGGCTCTATATCAAATAGGTATTGTATGTACTACTGTACCTAAAATACAGCTGGGCAGGTACCTAAAATATAGGTACATTAGGTAGGTACCTAATACCTACATGTACCTAGACATGAGTCAAAACACTCGCTATAAGGCCTTATCGATAGTAGTCCCTTAAAAGCTACCTATACTGTAAAAGAGGTAGACTCGCAATTAATTGGGGCAGCTCACTTCCCATCACTATCAACTTCAATGCTCTCGTTCAGCTCGGGGATGGTGGCCTTAAATTTACAAGAAATCAAATCTGAAGTTTATTGATGGATGCCGTGACAATTAAAATCCTCCTGCTTGGGGATGAGCAAGTAGGGAAAACAACGTTTTTATCGTGCGTAGAAATCATTATCTGAATATCACTCGTACTCTTGTTAATGCGTAACACAGGCGGATTAGTGGAGGTAGCAGCAGTCTTGAAGGTCATGCCCCTATTACTTTATTGCGAGATATAAACCAGCCTTTCGTTTTCGAGATACGAAACCGAAGGGATATTTATCGTCTTGAGTTCTATGACACTTCCAGCCCAGAAGACTGGAGGCTGCTTGAACCGGATTTGGTCTTGATTTGCTACGATATCAGTCAAAGACTGAGTCTCATCAATATGCAAAGAATCGTACGTATCGTCCCTCCTTATTCCAATACTCCCATGTCTCTAATCTTGCATTTCTAGTGGATTAAGCAGGTCCATGCCAACTTCCGAACCAGTGACCACCTCCCTATAATTGTCGTCGGCCTCAAGAGAGACCTAAGATCCGAAACTGATCCTAATGGCATCATATATCCTCAGGAAGGACATAATGTGTCGCAAGAGATGAGAGTGGATAAATACGTCGAGTGCTCGGCTGTCACCGGCGAACTTCTAAAGCTGGCCTTCGAGGAGATCTGCAATACCGCAGTAAAGACGATTGTAACTGATGGTGGGCAAAGTGAGGGAGGGTGTTTGATCTTGTAGGTGTTAAGAATGATAGCACCTCTTTGTCAAGTGCCCCCTAGAGCCCGGAACATAAGCCATATTAAGAACTTAAGATTGTTATCGGTGTCTACGATCCTCATGAGTGTCCATTCTCAGTGGTTTCTATAACGCCGTCTCCTTGGTCACCCTCTTCCGGCGCCTGGGGGAACTGCCCGAGGATTTCGGTGATTATATCGAGGATCTCCTGCTGCTGATCGCCATTAAAGCGGTCTTCCATATCCTCGATAACAGTATTTAGGACTGGAACGTTAGTGGGGCGAATGTTGAAGAGCATGATACACTCTCCTTTGGTGATCTGGTACTGGCGCAGTCTCTTAATCAACTCGGGGATGACCGCTGCATCAAAGGGCAACGGCTTCTGACTCAGAGGACCTGGTGGGCTCTCGAAATACTGCAGCACCTATGTTTAATCCATCAGACTAGGCTATGCATATCATTTCAGGGTGAAATTTAAGCTTACCTCTTTACGTAGTGTCTCCAAATTTGTAGGTCCCTTGCGCTTTTGGTCATTATATTGTTTTGCTTGATTGCTCAAAAATGTGTAAACTTCGACGTTAGTTAACACAGCTGACTGTGCTTCTAAGATCTTCATTATGACAGTCTTGATTTTTCTCAGAACTTTGGAGCCGGGTTTTCGATGTAAATAATAAATCCAACAGTTTTAATGAGATGACTAGGTCAACTTTCTTTTTCTTGTCGCGTTGTAAGATGTAAGTCAAATCGTATTAAGCGTATGTGGGGTTATAGATTTTCTTCTGGGGAGTGCCTAACCTAGGTACTTAGGTACATGTACACTATGTTAGGTATTGGAGGGCGCAGCTCATCCCAAAGTTATCCTTGACCATCAACCCAAAGTCTAACCCAATTAGGCATATGTGGACCATTTTACACCATAATAGTACTAGCGCACCCAAAACTCAACTACCATTTCACTAACATTATATTTATGTAAATATACGCTTTTATACAGCATTATAAGACTTAATGAAATATAAATAAATTTAATATAATCGATTTATAATTAATTATTAATCGATTAATTATTAATTTTTATTTTATTTTATTTAAATATAAAAAGTTTATTTTAAAATAAGTAAAAAATAAAAAATAGGTAAGCGCATATCTAATTAATTCCTAATCGATTAGGAATTAATTAGATAAAGCATGCTTAAAACTTAAGTGTTTAGCGCTATAATATAGGGAACTTAATGGTTATAACGCGCTGTAATTACAGGGCATTTAGCCTTATTCTAGCAATTAAAAACGCCAAAAACTCACCCCAAAGCGGACCCCAAAGCGGACCCCGTCAAATACAGCCAATCAGAATGTTGGATCCAATGTCCCAGCTTTTGCCAAATCGGGTTAGACTTTGGGATGAGCTGTAGACTCTAGGTATTGTACATGTAGATTTCCATATGCCCGTGGACCTTATAGAGTGGGTCGTTCTAGGCGTTTAATGCCTACCAATCCGTCGGTAACTCATTATAACCAATCCTCTATTTTAAGTTCAAGAATGTATATACGCCTTCCCCTCTCTTTACTCCCTAGTCCTTTAATTCCGCAGCTCTATCGAAATTACATTGCCAAGACTGAAGTTGAAGTTTAAATTGAAGTGTAGCAGTCCTCTCATTGTGGGCTACCGAAGTTGTTGGTGTCCGGTTGGCAACTAATCGCTCGGTTGTAGACGTAGGCGAACTCCGTAGATACGCGTCTAAGCTATATGATGGATATGATGCTTGAGACATACTATCCACTCGCATTCAACTTAACATTCATATTACGTATTGAGTAAGGTCGGCTTTCTCAAGTAGGATATAGCATACCTGCCATTATCAAAGTCACTACCAGACACGATAGCCAAAAAATCAGATCTCGTAGACGTAGACATAGAGTAATCGCGGACAAGCTCGTATAGTGTATTCAGGTCATATCTCTCAAATTTTTGTCTGTTGAATTGCTTCCCGTCATCATTCACCGCCCTTTTGGTATATATAATATTGATTACCTATTATAAACTGTTTGATAGAGCACAGCTGTTATTCACATTGCTAGCCGATGAGACAGTCAATTCGGGGCGAGGGTTACATGGCAAGTGTATAGTCAACACAGCTGCGTTCTACTAACTTAGCAGGTAGTGAGGATTTAACACTAGGATATTTTCTTCACTCCAAGGCGGAAACAGTAATATCGAATTACATCATAATCGCTTTACTTAGTAGATGTACTTTTATAACACAAATGTGCTAGCTACTTCAACCGCCATTCAGCGCGAGCTAAGCGAGACAAGAGCACAGCGGTGCTCTAGCAATGACATCAGCTTGCCAACGGCACAAACTATACCATCGTCACCAATTCCCCAAATAACACGATCATACACAGCTACCTATATATAGATATAGGTTAGAAACATTCGCTAATATCAGCCGGGTAGACGAACAAGTTTGATTTGTTCTTGAACACAAATACGAAGTTCCTGATCGGCTACTGAAATGTTATCACACAAATTCAGCCATCCGCGCATACCCGCGTAGCTCAGATCACAATCAAATGCTACACACTTGAGGGTTTGACCTTTTGAATCATTGTAGGCCAGCCCGGAGCCTCTGTAGCTGGCTCATTATTCCATACAGGGGTTTGTTCTCCGCGCCGCCTCCATCAGAGCTAGCAGCAGCTTTCTTAGAACTGTTATCCGGATCTGCCTTGCCATCTTGGCGGCTATTCTGCTCCACCTCCTTCAGTAATTCCTTGTGTCGATCCTCGACCATTTTGGCCAGACCCTCAATGAATTTCGTCCTTCCTTTCTCCTCTGCTGTTCCATTCCATACTTTTGTTAGCTCCTTAAGCTCCTCAATACGGCGTGCAGCCTTCTCTATCCCTTCAACAGGATCGGCACTTCTCGTGAGCAAGGTTGATATATCTTCCTTCAGCTGCTTGAGCACTTGCTGTCCTTTTTCTTCTGTGCTGTGCGCTTCTACCCCTGGCTCCGGTGCTGAGACGGAGAGGAATGACGAACTGACGGAAAGCTCAGAAGGCGGGAACACGAATTCCATAGCTTCACCAAATGTTTTAACCACTGTGTCTAATCGTGAACGTACTAATGTCAAGGTTTGCAGTTGATTTATATATGGTGGGTCTAGACTAGTGCTATTTTGTGGAATAGATTCTAGGTTTGTGGGAGCTGTCGCCTCTGGGGGTCGTCTCTCAGTGAGCGTAACAGCTCCGTTTATTTTGGTATTTGGTTGTTCTTGTGTGTCTTTCGGAATGAACCTTGCGATCTCTTCGTGTAAACCATCTGACAATGTTTCCGATAGGCTTAACGTCTCGCCGCGCAGGAGTTCAACCTCATATGCTAGCCGGCTCCCGCTCCGTAATATATCGTCGGTCAGTTGCGTGAGAATAGTGGTCAGCCTCGTCGTATGGGCATTCAATTGGGAGAGTTGCGTCTGAGCTTGACTAGATAGTTCTGCTAAGGGAACCGCACTATCCGTTGTTCGAGTTGAAGATGAGGACGTTGCGGTTTGGAGTGTTGGAAGTGAAGAATTAAGATAATCGGCCGGATCAAACGACGGGGCGAGGAAGCTTTGGAGGAATGGGTCGGTAACATGAGGAGATTTTGGCTGTAGAGGTTGCTTCGACTGCTGTCTTATATGGTGCGGCAATGATCTAGAAGAGCCCACAGAGCTATTTTGCCGTCGTCTAACGGCAGATTTAGAATCCCAAGACATTATAGTAGGGTGCTCGTATAGATTTCGTATTAAAAATAGGTAATGTCGACGTTGATGGGAATCATATTGACATGTTAACATAAAGGAAACTAACCTTTAGGTTAGGTACTAGATTGCCGGTAAATCATCATTGCGCATTTTAGATTATTCTATATTACATAATATTTCACATAAGTGTCTAACACCTCTAGGTTAGGTACCTTAGGTAAGCATACACAACCCATTTTAAATATTTGACTTAAATACTATATTCTTAGGTACCTACTTAGATAACAACCCAATAACGTTCATATGAGATAATGTCCAACTAATTTTGTTTAATATTAATTTTTTGATAATTTTTACCTCTTGTTTCGGTTGAGAAACTAGAGTACAAAATGTGTATGTACGTTATTTGCTTGAGTGAGAATGGGGAATCTTTTTTGACGCGATTCTGCTAAGCTTGTTTTGGTAGTAGCATCAGGATCACCCCGCGTGGTAAAACTACCGCTAGAGCCCAACAACCTTACCAAAGATCCACACACAAGGTACAGTGGGGCGAATTGTGGATTTGGATCGGAAGCTACCTCCTACATGTACATTACCTAACTTAGCTTATTACGACAACTGCATCTTCTTGAATCTCGACAACATTGAATGTCAAGCTGGATGCAGCTCCAATATCTCAACATTCCTACTCACAGCTGAAGGAACAATAGGTTTCCTTATAAGCACGCAATAAGGTTTGCTATTTAGGAGGACTAAATTTCACGATAAGGAAATAGGCAGCCGACTTTGCTACAGCCGAGGTAGCTTCGGCCAGGGGCTTTATATTCAAGGCATCAAACTGGGTTAGGTACTAATCAGATACATTCAATACCTTTTGGTTAAGCACCTAAGGTTACCGTATGTGTACCTAACTAGGTAGGTACCTTGTGCACATTATAGGGCTGAGTCATGTATCATTGGGATAGGGTACCTGCATAAAGCTACCCGTAGCCTCACGACCCGGATAATACACTTGAATTATACTGTCATGTTAGCAAGCAAGAATAGGTACCTACCTACCTAGGTATATAACTTGCCATATTTATTTCCTCAAGCTACTGAAATTCTCTAGTCAGCGTTGTAATATGTATATCACCGCAACTTCACCTTAGTCTATCCTCTCTAGTCGTACCTACCTGTGTACCTAGGTATGCATTATTTGCTATCTTAGGTACCTAGGTAGGTACATCTTCTGGGCACCACATTCACAGTCTTAAACTAAATATTCTGGAGGTTCGCTCATTCCCATCCTTCATATCGATATAGGGTTATCGTACTTTATCATACATGTACTTGCCTTAGGGGGCGTAAGTTTCTACCTGTACCTTACACGTTAATGCATTAATACATTCATATATCAATCATATATCAATGCCGTCTTCGCTGTATTTTTACTACAAAATCCCCACCCTCATCTAACATCATCATCCAACATATCCACGGAAAATATCATCTAGCATTCTACCATTGATAAGGTGATCCGTGTTAGTTTCTTCGCTACATGGTCATCACACGGCTACGGTGCAGCAAACAAATTCCAGACATGCGCAATGTCTTGTCTTCCCCTTTCATGGCAATAATAGTTTAGGTGGACAAGGAGTATATTATCATTCACTTCGTTAAACAAAGCGTTTATTGATTTATTCAGTCTATTACTTTACCATTGTTTTCGCATCTTCTACTTGCTATAAACTCTAGCCCTACGTAATCCAAGTAAGTAATCTTCCTGGTCTAATATCGCATTGGATCATATTAGTCCTTGTTGTCACTTTCTTTCCAGGCATACTTATGCGGCATGTGCAAGAGTTGATACATGTTACTAATAAAAACTTTCCACAAACCTTAGGGCCATTCTATAACTACCAGACAGCCGTTTAACTCAACAGCCGTGCGAAGGCATCATGCCTCCGCGAGAAGCGAGGCTGAAGTTCCAAGCCGACTTCAAGCTAGCGGCCGAAAGAAACGATGACCATATATCAGCCATCAAGAAGGGGGATGCCGAAGATGAATTCACGTTCGTGTTTAGCCATCCTAACCTGCCTAAACCCTCTCACGTTGAGATCCGTGTCCACCCACAAGGTCAGTTCTCTTATCCTATTTCTCATACCAGTACCGCTAGCATCCACCCCCTTAATACTCTAGTTTATCTAAGTTCCCATCAACTAATAATATAATTAGATGTGCAAGGTTATCCAGACCAGAACACTTTCCTCGTCTACACTAATGATGATACACTTCCAATAGTTGCCCATGTTCTAGAGGAATCCATATCCGAGGCAGCGGGTATGAAAGTACAAGACATGCTTAGCAACATCTCTCGAAGACTTCGGGCTGTCCTAGAGCGTGACGGCTCCGAGGAAGAAGATACAGATATCGACATGACGGATGATGCAGTATTATCAGACAGCAGTGAGGGAGATGTGCCCTTTGAATATGGTGACGATCTCGACGACGAGCTGTTTGGTGATGGAACAGGAAAAAAGAACAGGCCACATCTTCAATTTGAGCCTGACGCGCCACTTGCACCGTTGCTTCTGCAGCGAATCCGCCGAGATCTTCGGTCTGTGCTCAAGGCAGGATTTCACGTGGGGAAGATTTGTGGATTTGAGGACGGCATATATGAAAGCATGATATCAATATCAATTCGGGTGACCAAATTATGTCTTTCTAAGGAGACACACGAAGCATGGGGTCTTAGCTCTTCAGACTTCATCGTTCTACTCATCAAATTTGACCGATATTACACTACTATCGAAGACGTACTTCAGAGCCAAGCTGGACATGCCAGAGCGAAATTTCGTCTAAGAAGGTGTTCTAAAAAGAAACCTTCATATCAACAAGCCATAGCTGCTTTTAGAACTGAGGCGACTGCGAATGACGTATCACAAGACCCAGAACTACATACATTTTGGGTCAGCAAGTCGATCGACGAGTTCATGAACGCAGACTTCGCGCCAATGTTGAAGCTGAGGAAAGAACGTGGCGTTTCCTGGGATGTGGCGAAGGAAATAAAACGGATGCATGAAATGAAGTCGTTCTCAGGGCTGCAACCATCATCCAAAGGCGTAGAGGCCGCGGAACACGAAGAGGAATCCATTAATAAAGCTCAGTTGCCTCCTATTCTCGCTAATGATCACATGCTAAGTGACGGCGAGGTATCTTTGCCACTCGTTGCCATACAGTTTGCCTTGCGCTACCTAGTTAGATGTACAGACTACTGTACAGTCTGCCATCGCAGAATGAAAGGAAACTTTGAGGCTCTGAGACCGTATGTCTGCAACGAACCCCTCTGTCTTCACCAGTACATGAACATAGGCTTCGGCCCAGACGTAGATCATGAGGTCCTGAGCCAACCTAAAGTTGTCGACCTCCTAGTTAGCTTCTGCTATACTAGTCTGTTTGATTCATTGACGGCAGGGAATCCTGTCATGCGGGAGTTTCCCACAGGGTTAAACTTACAAGTGCCGAAGATACTAGGAGCCTACACATCTGCACGTTCTAATCAAGATCCTCTCGCGCTCTCGAGTAAAAGACAATTGTCTGGAAATGCAACGCCCCGCATCGTACCTGTACATGGGGGAAAACTTATAGACCCTTTGGACGTGATATTTAATTTGGCCGATTCTACCGCTACAATAATTAGTAAGTTAGACGGCGTTACTATTAAAGAAGGCCAATGGGTGATTATCTCGACCGAGGTCCCCGCCAGTCTCGAGATGGAGACGAAACCCATGACTGTGCTGCACCATGTTCGTATCGTATACAAGTATGGGGTTTCGCTACAGCTCGAGATTATGGTACAACATACATTACCTCATTACAATACCTCTGAGTTGTTAGGATTTGGCCTAGTTGATGGTCAGACCATCCGCTCTCACATAGGGGATATCGTACCAGGCCATCTTATATTCTGCGATGCAGATTTAGACGATATCCAAAGCGTGCACGACAAGGCTTTCTCCATGCTAATCATACTTACTACCTTCCCTTCGGTCGCAGACATGAAGCAGTATTTAATGGACAATAAACAGCTGTTCAAGTGGAACAGAATGCCACGGGCAGCCGTGGATCTACTAAGATGGATTATGGCTTCAAATAGGTCATATATCGTACAGGTAGACGATGAATGTCCTACGGATGCTGGGGCAGTTCCACACCCCGAGAAGATTTATGGCGTTGATGGTTGGATCCAATTCAGATTCGCCCAAGGGTCTTTAGAGAAGGAAAACCGCTTCAACGAGGTCCTGAAGAGTATTAATAAACCCCAGAAGACCCTTGTTGCTTGGCACGGGAGCAAGCTTGGGAACTGGCATAGTATTATTCGCCAGGGTCTGAACTATAACGTCACCGCAAATGGTCGAAGTTATGGGGACGGTATCTATTTTGCCAGGCAGTTTGATGCTAGCTTTGGCTATACGGGTACGAATACTAAATCTGTAAGTGTAGTTCAGTCTACTTTCACGTTATGAAGCTGCTATTCTAATCATTGCCTAGTCAGTTATATGGCCTAACTCTTCCCTGAGGATTCGGGCCGTCGTCAGCTTAAACGAGCTTGTCAATCTGCCTGAGCAGTTTCAAAGCAACAATCCTTTCTTTGTGATACAACACTGTCATTGGACTCAGTGTAGGTACCTTTTCGTTCGCCCTACATCAGCGGCGGATCGGAACGATTCTGGGAATGCGGCTGGGATCCTTGCTAGACAAGCCAGGCCTTTGGCCAACCTTCAATCTTCACACATCAGCGAGAAGGCGCCTCCTGGAGTGTCAGAGTTCATACAAGATCCGAAATGGCGCATTTTGGGTCCTTGGAATAAAATTATGTTTATTCCAAGATGTGCTATACCTTCAGCGCAATATAGATGCAATACTTCGACGGTATCACTGGTGGATAATATAGGGGGGCCAGAGAATCCCGAGATGGTCAGCAGCGACGAAGATGAAGAGGACATCTTGTTCCTCTCCCCAAAGGAAGGCGTCTCTTATAAGGACCAGATATATAAAACTGATTTTCGCCCTGGAACGCTTGATTTCGCTACTCTTCCACAACTAGCGCCTCCATCATACGCAACCAAGGCTGCTCAAAGGGCTCTCGGGCAGGAGATCAAGAAGCTAGAGAAGGTACAATCCACAACACCTCTTCATGAATTAGGTTGGTATATCGACTTTGAAAAGATCAACAATATGTTCCAATGGATCGTGGAGCTGCACTCCTTCGACTCTGACCTCCCATTAGCGCAGGACATGAAGGTGGCTGGTCTAACTAGCATCGTCCTTGAGATCCGCTTTCTCCGCGAATTCCCCATGTCCCCGCCATTTGTTCGCGTAGTTCGCCCCCGTTTTCTTCCATTCTCTAGCGGTGGAGGTGGCCATGTCACGGCGGGTGGAGCTATGTGTATGGAGCTTCTAACAAACACGGGCTGGTCACCGGCAAACAGTTTAGAAAACGTTCTCTTACAAGTACGCTTAGCTATCTGCAATACGGATCCCAACCCAGCACGCCTGCTCAATATAAAACAGAGCCGGATGGACTACAGTATCTTCGAAGCGTTGGAGGCATACATTCGGGCCGCAAATACACACGGATGGGATGTGCCTAAAGACCTGCGAGAAGCATCTGCTTCCAGATTTGCTTAATGGGTAGATCTTGGTCTAAGTATAAGATATTTACTAAACCGAATACTTCAAGCCAACTTCAAGGCACTGTATCAACAGGAGTCGATATTCACTCGTAGGGTGCCGTAGGTCGGATATCTCATGTTTCTCTTTAAGCCTTGATCCACCAGACTACCTTAGGCATCAGTCTTACTTCAGGGTAATTTGCTTCATACACTGCCTACTATATATGAGAGCTTGGCCGGCTTTTGATCAACGACGTAGACAGCTAATTCTATAAGGCTTATAGCCTAGCATCTAGCCACGTAGTCGTTGCCTACCGACTAGTACTTAGCCGCACAGGAAACCGAATTCACGATAGCACTTCCTTGTATTTAAGGGGTAGTTTCCTAGTTAGTCCATAGAGACCATAATAAACACGAATAGTTTGCGAAACCAACTAGTTACGATCTTACCTTATGGCATGAGAGGATGAATTCTAAATGGTTTATTATTTAGACAAGCCCAGGGATCCGCCCTTTGCAAATATGTTGCACCCCTTCAATTTTCCCACCAACCTCCCTATCTCCTATTATGCGTGCAATATAAATAATAAAGCTCGCAATAAGCTTCCTGTAGAGAATCGTGTCTAATTAATGTCACTATCATAAACCCCTAAGTATCGTCACCATGTCGAAGTTACTCCTAAATCCCACAATTATAGCCCAGTTCGGCGATGATGAGGATTATCTTCACGAACTCATACATCATAATCATATATTACGGCGCGCAATAGTTTTAGTCTTGACGATGCTCTCGTTAGCTGCCTTCCTTGCGATACACCGGTCGAAGGTTAGTATATGTATGATGCTGACTATTGTATCATGAAGAGACTAAGCAAAAGATGTAGTTAGGCTTGAAGTTCGTTGAGTTTCTGGAACAATCGCGCTAGGACTGAGACTCTTGGTGGCTTGAGCTTGGTTGTACATACGTTGGATTTAAGACAAGGTAGCTTGGAGAGCTATGTGTCTTAGGGGAGAGCGTTAATAGCCAGTGGCTTGAAGTGATATCCTAGGAGGCAGAGGCAGTGGCTGGAATTACATTATGTATGCACCCGTTATACCGGCACAGTACGGTGTACCTAAGCTATTTGATAGTAGGGCTCAGTTTATCTGCTAGGAGGCTGGCTGCATTTATTCACCGTCTGCCTAAGTATTCTGATGTAGCTCGCTTCCGTAAAGCTGGCAAAATATGTTGCTTTCTTGATTCTTGATTCTTGATTCTTGATTCTGTACCTTAGATAATTGATCCTTAACCTTAATACACGTAGATATTCAATGTTCCCTTCAATTCCCTTTTCCCTTCAAGAAGCAACTCTTGACATCCTACTTTCCTACTTAAAGCTTGAGATTATCCTATTTCGGCAAGTGGGACTGCCTAGATCTGCAAGGTCCGTCACCTGCTCTCATACAGCATATTAGTACCTGTGGTACGTATCTCCGTACCTGCCGATTCCGCTAGTCCAACTGGTTAGAGTAAGGTCACACAACAGGTGTGTAAGTGAAATCGGCTCGCGACTATCTAATCGATTGATCCTGCTGTCGACTTGCCTGACCTTTTTCCTCGCACCCATTAAACAATTGACAAGACACACCTACATTCACAATACCCATACCGCAGTTAGGTTCAAACTGCTACTGCCCAATATTTCTCAATGTAAATTTTGTTTCTGCCCTCCAATCTCATCCTTTTTAAATTTCCCTATGTTGACAAAACATCGAAGCAAAACTTGACCTTCAAGCGTTTTACCGGTTTACCATTCTACCACGTTACCACGTTCGCAGTTTGAATTGCACCTCTTTCCATACAATTCAATCGGCTGTACACGACCTTCTACCCCTCATACCTACTACTTTCAAGCAACCGAGGTCCCTACTTTACGAGTTCATCTATCTTCCAACCTTTAAAATCGACTATTACACCCTTCGTCCCTGACCTGATCAGCTCAGAATGGCCGCAACCGAATCTGCCCAGTCGTCAGCTTTAGCGACTACTTCCAACAAGACCACCCGAACGTCTCCTCTGCCCCAATCTAAACGCGATAAGAGGCGGCAGGTCGTAAATGACCGCTTAGCTGTTTTGGCTGACAAGTTCAGCCGGGACAAAGATAAACATTACAGAGATGAACTCCACAAGATACAAATCGATGTTAACCTCGTCGGCCGAGTCGATCCCTATGCCGATCGACCTCTGGATGCAATTGATCGCGAGTACCGAGAAATACAGCATGCTACCAATGCGCAGCAGACTACAAATGCTAGTAGTAATGGTAGCCCTAAGCGAAGTCTGCTCGAAATGGCAGGCCCTACATTCTCCGAATGGGTTCATCAGATAGAAGACCTTGTCGAGCATCGCGACTACGAGATGACTAGCCACAAGGTACGCTCTCTCTAACTTTATGATCTACGTGATTGGAAGCTTACATTTGTTAGATTGAATACGAGAGGAAGCTTCGTGAACACCAGAAGACACACGCCTACAAAGTCGAACTAGCCAAGCGTGAACACAGAACTCTCTCAAACACCCTTAGAGACCGTCTTATTAATGGTATTACTTCTAAGAAGTACCGATTAGGCAAAGAAAAGGAAGCCCTGGATATTGCCGACGGCTCTGCTCTTCTTCTACACCCGAATCAATACAGCCTCACCAACCCCGCAAGCCCTGGAGGAACGCATGGGAAGCGAAATACCAGATTACGAAGAGAGATGGAGGAGCTCCCAGGCTACTCAGATAACAAGAAGAGGAAGCGAAATGCTGCCGATGAGGAGGGTTCGCCAGCTCCCAAGAGAGGTGCTCTTGATAGTTCTAACACTACACCTTTCTGGTCGAGCGAAAGAATCAGAGGTCTACGTAAGGAGACGGGACCAGTCTACAGCATTGACAAGCTTTTCACCGATAAAGAACTGGCCATGACCTATAATGCCGCCGCCCTAGCAGCCCACAAGCATCTGTTGATACGCCGAGACACAAACGGCAATATTATTACTCCTGATGAGAGTGTCGCAGACGCTAATGACGATGAAGATGAACCTTCTGCAGTAAGTATGGAGCGACAGCCCTCACATACTACGCGAAGTACTCGAGGTGGACATGGTCAACAGAATTTCTACGATGACCAGGTCCTAGGAATAGAGGGTCTGGCCAATTTCGAGATACCGGGAAATCTCGATAAGGTGGCCGGCTCGGAGCCTAAGCTCCCCCCTCTTACTCATTCGCAATACTCGAAGGCTTATAGAAGAGACGAGTCGAATACTCCTCCGACCTTGAACGAAAGCGACCGAGATAAAGATCTTGCAGTGATGAAACTGTTGAAGACATACCAGAACAAGCACGGTGTTGGCGCCAACCTTGATGTTAATAATGGTGGCCGGAGGCTACTCGAGTCTATGGCCGCGCCGCTGCATAAGAGCAAATATGTAGCTTACATGCAGGGTCCAAGGCCTTCCACAGACGCATTATCAGAATCCTTGGGTGTTCAGGATAGTGACATGAGGGGCGAAGCCGCAGGTATCGAGCCAGAGAACAGCGGAAGCGCTAAGGACCCCCCAGCTGTGGGGAAGGATTCCGCGCCGGGAATTCCGATGAGTAGACAGAGTAGTCTGGGTGGTGTTGTGATGAGTCGATCGGGAAGTGCACGGGGCAAGCGAAAGGCCTAATTGCAGGGGGTTTTTATTATTATTCATCTTCGGTTTTATCATAGGGCAGAGAGATCATACGCCCCAGCGTTGTTATGTGTGGATATCCGTAAGGTTTACGGAGGGGTTTTTGTTTTATTTTATTTGGTCTCTCAGGACGCATAAAGCCTGGAGTCATACGGAGGAAGCAACATGCATCCATAGTGAGACTTGGTCGATTAGGTATATCCGGATCGTGGTGGGAATTGGCACCATCCATGAATAGGCGCTCGGGAACATTAGATTTGTATTTTTTACATATAGCGATCCTTTCATAAAAAAGCAATGCTGAACGATACCATTATTAAAGTGTCCTAACTAGGTACCTAAGGGAACCGTAAACTCGTATAATATTGATTTTAAATGTAGCATCTTCAAGGACCGAATACTAGTGCCCGTATCTCGATACTCTCCCTCCCTTCTGCGTCTGGCCTCGTCCTAGGGTCCTCGAAAGCAGTGTGAGGTAATCGTCCACCAGCTACACCAGAATTTTCCTTGGTACCTTCACTATCGAAGCACTCGAGTAGCAGACGCTCATCGCCCGTCATACCGCTGAGGTAGTGCCACTTCTGGTTGGGGTTGTACGCAATAGCAGCTGTCTGGCCGATATACCCTTCCGGGTACCGGTGTTCTACGGGAATAACGTCTTCATCGTTCAAGCTGGAACTAGACGCGAAGGCTAGGGGCGTCGCCTCGACGGGGTTCTTGTTCAGCGTACGCCATACATTGACGATGCGGTATCGCCCCTTTAATAGCTCTTCCGCGTCATCTCCCAAGTGCCGCCGCACACGCTTCTCAGCTGAGTACGGCGTCTGGTCGATGTGTGCTATAAGCACGGCACGACGCGGCGCGTCCGGGTCAGCCCGTCGGATGGTGTGGTCGAAGATGAAGACCCGGTTGCTGCCCGGGATGTTGTCGAGTAGTAGCTTCTCGACCTCGGGGTAGTAGTTCGCGGCGATGGAAGCATCGTCCGTGAATCCGGAGCCGGCGCCGGTCTCCTCGGCTGACGGCGGCAACCCCTGCACGATCTGGAAGGCGTCCCGGTCGAGCGTGTACTCGGATTCCCGACCGCGGACATCGATGACGGTGACTTCATGCGCGTCAACGGTGAGGTTGCGCTGGGGCAGGCCTGCTGGTGGCTTGTCTACGTAGTTGAAGGCTACGACGCCGGGGGCTGGCCGGTTGTTGAAGTTGATCTTGGCGGTTACGGGGCCGCGGGGCACGGTAGAGGCTGTGATGGCCATTTTTGGTGCTAGAGGTTAGGGGCTAGGTATGGAGATCTATGAAAGGCGGTTGCGCCAGATAAGATTCAGAAGACTAGGTTAGATAATAAAGAGAAAGAGAAAGCTTGGTATGAGACGGGATGGGATGGGATGGGATGATGATAACTGTCTAGGTTAGTGTATTCTCGACTTCGATGTCGGGTATGACTTATATAGACATCAGTAGCCTAGCTCAGCTGTCTAAAAATGTCTCTGTCTGCGCATTTCAAATCAATCGAACGATGGAGAGAACCTTCGAATCACGTCATTGCTTGGGGGAAGGGGTCCCGATTAGTAGTATAGTGTTTAGTAGTATAGTGTATAATGTCGGCCAGTGGGAGATGACTCGGAATGATTGGATTCCTTCCGAATACTTTCTCTGTAATCAACGGATAAAATCCAAGGAGATTCCCCGATACTTGACCGCCCTATAC